TACCTACTGGTACGAAGCACAGTAAAAACACAAAGGCTACTTTCCAAAAGGCAAACAACATCATTTAAAAAGAAAGACAAAACAGCCCTATTTGCACATTAGTGTGGGAAGTGAGGACATTATATAATATGCCTCCTCCAAGGACCCCAAACACGTTCTCTGCTGTAATTAAGAGAAGTGCCTACTGCCAGCACCATCCTGCCATACCTGCTTATGTGACTTTGAACAAGTGTCTTATCCTCTGGGTCTCTGTTTCCTAATCTACAAAATAGGGTGATTAAAGGGCCTATGTCATCTGGTACTTTTATTTTTATTTATCTATTTATTTATTTATTTATTTATTTATTTTGGAGACAGAGTCTCACTCTGTCGCCCAGGCTGGAGTGTGGTGACTGTGCCATCTTGGCTCACTGCAGCCTCTGCCTCCTGGGTTCAAGTGATTCTCCTGCCTCAGTCTCCCAAGTAGCTGGGATTACAGATATGCACCACCATGCCCAGCTAATTTTTACACTTTTAGTAGAGATGGGGTTTCACCATGTTGGCCAGGCTGGTCTCAAACTCCTGACCTTAAGCGATCCTCCCACCTCAGCCTCCCAAAGTGCTGGGATTACAGGCATGAGCCACTATGCCCAGCCGGTACTTTTAAGAATTTATTGAGTTAATGCTTAAGATTTCTACAAACTAACCCAGCTATATACTGTCTCTCTTTGAAAGGAGTTAAGTTTTCCATCCCTCTTTCATGCCACCTGGACAGAGGTACTACAGTAACTGGTTAAAATAACAGACTATGGAATCAGAACACCTCAATTCCAATCCCAGCTCCGCCACTTTCCAGTGGTGCAACATTGGCAACTTAGTTAAGTACGGTGGGCTTCAGTTTGTAACATGGGAAGAAAATGTCAAGATCCTGGAGTCCCTGGAAAGCCCACAGAACAGGCCCAGCATACAGCAAACCCTCAGGAGTACTATGACGTCGATACATGAGAACTTCAGCCCTTGGCAAGGTTCTCACAGTTTACTTATTTCGACTGATTCAACTGTCAGTAACCCATTTCATGCATCATCACAAATTTGGCAACTGCTCCAGCTTTCAGAAGCCCAGGTCCCAAAGGCCTGCAAGCTCTCCACAGCCAAGAAAGGCAGTTTGGAATGTGAAAGGCACAGGGGCAGTGAGGGAGTCATCCACGCCTTACGCTGCACACTTCCAGAATGGGTACATTTTCCTATGCCAAGGACATATTCATGCATTGCTTGGGCAAATTAAAAAGCACTTTTTTTCATGTAAAAGAAACATCCATGATTGAGTACTCAACAACAGTATCACCAACTATTATGCCCTGAAGGAAGGTCTCTGGAAGACAGAGATCAAAATCCAAGTATTCTGGTCTGTTTTGTTATTTTAAACATCATCTGAATAAGTTTGGTTGTCTGATTTTATAGACTGTAGAAATTGACAACTGCACGTTAGAAGAGAGGAGGGACAATACTGTGTGGTTGAAAAGAATGCTGAATTTGAAACCAGACAGACAGAGCTGGGCTGCTCACTAACCATGTAAGTTTAACTACTTGGAACCTTCTTTCTTCATCTGTAAAATGGGTATAATTGAACCAACTTTATAAGCATGGTTTGAGGATTAAATGAGATTACGTATATAAAGCACTCAGATCTATGCCAAAAGCATAAAGCACATTCTGAAAACAGCAATGAAAATTATGCTCAACCATACGAAACTGCTGTTTCTCTAAGTCAAAAACAGTTGAAGAGAGTCAAACTGACAGACAGGCTGGGCAGGCAGATGCTCTTGTGGAGTAGTGAGGATCTGGGAGTGTGGGGTGCCCGGGGCAGGGCCTGAGGGCAGGGGAGCAGGTATTTACTGATGA